GCTACTTCACGGTCAGGGCGGCTAGAGTCTGGAACCAGCTTCCAAGTGAGGTGGTGCAGGCTCCCACCCTGGGGGTTTTTAAGAGGAGGTTGGATGACCACCTTACTGGGGTCATTTGACCCCAGTGCTCTTCCTGCCATGGCAGGGGGTTGGACTAGATGATCTGCTCAGGTCCCTTCCAACCCTAGAAACTATCAAACTATGAAACTATGAGAGGTGCCTGCCGGCACTGGAGGAAGTTAACTGGGTGGCTGAGCACTGAGGCTGCAGTAGGGCAGTGGTTGCAGGGCAGAGGTTGCAGGGGACTGTGGGTCAGGCACTAGCAGGGCCAGGGGAGTGTGGGTCAGGACAAGCCATCAATTTTGGCAAATGGGTCCCAGAACGAAAATGGTTCGAGAACCACTGGATTGGAGGACTGCTGTCCCTACCCATGATAGAAAGAATGAAAGTGAGGGCTTGATCTCACTGTTCAATTAACTCAAGTTATAAACTACAGAGTTAAAGGTAATACAAGTTCCACCTCTACCCAAAACCCTTAATTCATGCATAGTAATGCCTTTAACTTGAGTTAACTGGCTCAGCTCAAGCTGCACTAACTTTCTTTTTTCATATTAAGTTACTTGATATATATATGACATAATTCTTCCAAATGAAATGGCCAGTGTTTGTTAATTAGATAATCCACTATCAAAGTGAATTAAGCTCATCTCTGAACAAGTTAGCACAGAAAAAGGTTTGTGTGGACTCACTGTATTTATGGATTACCTTTTTCACTCCTGGCAGTCCTCCCAATGCCACTGCGTACTTCACACTGGAAACAGCCTGTTTCTTCACCTGCTTCCACTCTACTGCTCTGGGGTTAGGTTGACCAGCTGCCTGCAATGCCAGCAAGCAGATGAAAAGACTCCATTTGTGACCACAGTTTGTGTTCCTGGAATTGCAGACCCTACTCCACACTCTACCAGCATTGTAGCAACCAAGCATCCTGGTTCTACATGGAGCTGCACAGAGGTCATGGATTTTCTTGCTTTCTAAAGAGAAAGAACGTTAAATCCTGTTTTAAGAGCAGTCACTGTAACATGTAAATCTGTGAACTTGTAGCAAATCAAGTCAGGGATCTGTGATTCCTGCTCAAAGTAGCAAAGGAAAGGAGCTCCAAGGAAATAATTTTAAAGAATTGCAGGAACAGAAACATGACCTCAGGACCTCCATGTACTCCTTCCCTCCACCCTCTGAGGAACTGGATCAGATTTTTGTCAAAGAAATCACCAGAAAACACAGAGCTGGAATTAGGGAAAATGGGGCACTGGGTGAACTTGTATTTTGACACCAACCCTGCACCCCAACACCCCACCCCACCCAAAGTTAACAGCACTGCAGCCCTGCCACAGAGGGGTTTTTCCAATGGGCTGAGGAGCTGGGCATGGCATCTGGCTGTGGCAGGGACAGCCAGCTGCAGCCCCATGGCTGGCGAGCAGGAGCCTGCGATGAGTGGCCGGCAAGTGCTGGCATGGGGGCTCTGGTGTCCTGCAGCTTCCAGGGGGACCCTCCAGGACCCAACACACAGCCAGCCACATGTAGGTGAAATTCAGCCAGAGCCCTTCCCTGCTTCCTCCATGAGCTGCCAGCCACAGGCCAGGTTTCCTGCATGTGCCACCCAGCCCCGCCCCACCTCACCCCACCTGGGAGGAAGCAGATGCCATGGTCACCCCCATACATGGGAGTCCGCCCTGCCCTGCCCCACCCCGTTGTCACATCGGGTCCTAAGTAACACTCCGTGGTGGCGCTGCTGCATGCTGCTTGCAGAGAGTGAGTGAGTGTGTGTGTGTGTGTGTGTGTGTGTAGGTGTGTGTGTGTGTGTGTGTGTGTGTGTGTGTGTGTGTGTGTGTGTGTGTGTGTGTGGTGTCCCCCTGACCACAGTACCGTGGGAAGTCACCCACATCACCCACCCCTAAGACTGGCTCTGGGCAAATATCTGTATATTGTGAAAAGTGTCAAGTCACTAAAAGGCCGTGGTCCCCAAGTTCAACTAGCACTCTGCTGAGGTGGAGATTTCCCCTAAAATCCACAATCATTCTTCTACCCACTCAGCCCAGGGCAGACTCTGAAAAGCAGACAGCTCCTAAACCCCTGATAGAAAGCTGGCTCAATGATTCTGGGAAGGGGACTTCAACCAATAAGTAATTATGTGCTGTAGTAAATAGCAGTGCAGGTAATTTTTTAAAAACTTTGTGTTGTGTGCTCAAAGGACCCCATCACTTTGGATAGGCCTGACCTAGGAATCCTACCCCTGCTGAGAAACGTTAGTTGTGAAGCAATTTTCATGATATTTTAATAACCCACAGTCTTTAACCATGATGACATCCACATCAAGACCCCTTCCCAGTCACTTACTCCATTTCGCTACCCAGTACAGGCCTCCCATGCATCCTCACAGTACCATGAATTTGTTCAGTGGTTTTGAATAAAGAACCTAATTCAAGCATGCTTAATGAAACATCAGATACAGGAAAATAAGGCAATATAAAAGCACTTTGCTTCACAGTTTGAGCAAATCCCTAAGGTTTCAGCTATTTTATATTTTCCCCAAGATGAGACATCTAAAAATTCATAGAGATATGATATTCAGCCAGCTGTATGCAGACTCTCACTTTGTTAACCCTTGTCGTTCCAAACCAGTACTGGAGAATTCATTTTCAGTGCACTTGATTCATATCTGCAGATAAGATGAAACAGAATTTAGGTTGCAAAGATACTATTTATTTTGGCATGAACATTACAAAGCAACATGCCCTTCCTTGGGCTGCCTGTATAAGTAGCATTGCCCTTTCAGTTCTGTAGCATCTCTAAAGGGAACCACTTTGTTGAAGAACATCACTGCGTATCTTGCCAGTTTGCCCATTGTCTCTTTCAACAAGTTCCTTCTGTGCCTTTTGGAGATTCATTCTAGGTTAACACCCCACAATTTAAAGTCTGGAAAGATGCACATTGAGTTACTAACCTACCCCAATCCCACCATCTTCAGCTACACAAACCCTGATGTGTGCCCACATGTTTTGTCACCACCATCCTCTTAGCTTATGAAAATAGCCAGCCCACATGCCATGACCCACTCATTCCCTCCTTCCCATCCACCACCTCTTCTGATCCATGAGCCATGCTAAGAAGCCTGGGATCAGAATAGGTTTCCTATGCAAAGGGGGATGAAGGTAAAAAAGTATTATCATTTCTAATCTCATCCCAGACTGGGAAGAGACTATTGGGAATGATGTTTCAAAACTGAGGAGAAAAAATGAACAACAATTTCCATAAAGGTTGGAATTCATAATACATTTGTTTTGTTTCTCAGTTCCCCCAGCTTGTTCACATGATGCCCAATGGACAGGAATGTTATCAACTTCAGAACATCTGACAGATCTCTAGGGCAATAAAAAAACAACACACAACAAGCCTTTGTTGCCATGCAAGAAAAAAAATAAAATTACAGACAGAAGGGAATTTCTTTTGGCAGAGAGAAGATCTTGCAAACAGAGTACAAGAATTGGAAGATAGTGTCATGACAAGAAACACTATTGGGAAAAAAAGACAGACGTGCAAGAACAGCTCCTGGATTTGTTGCAGCAGCAGACAGGCTTGCTAGTGAATGTGTTCCTGCAACGCTCTCACAACTCAGCATCATAACTCAGAGCCCAGCTATGTCCTGGAACCATGAAAACAATGCAGCAAGCTACAAGATGCTTTCCAAAGTTCAAGTCACAGGTACTTCCCTCCCAATTCTACATCTCAGTACAATGAAAACAGTAAAGCTAGGACCACATTCTCAGTCCTTTAGCTGCAAATGACGATTTATACACCATTTCACAACCCAAGGCAAGCAGTAATCTCACACTACAAATGTGTGACAACCACAGTACAAATGTCGTGGTATTCAGCACTTTTAGACAGATGTGCACCACAGACTTTGTGCAACATCACAATACTTTATCTTGTTATTTATGACAATAACCTTCTATTTCCCTCAATCCATACAAGGAGAACAACAAAATCTTATCAGAATGCAGAACAAAATTACTCTTCAATTTTTCAGCTTCTGGCCTCAAAGTAGGAGCACAAGGCATTTTTGACACTGTGTCCCTGCCAATTTGCCGTTCACAGAGACAGCCATTCTGACTGTATACAGTGTATTCAATGTCTTCGCACCTCTGTCTTACAGCCATCACTGATACTTTCTACTTTGCTCCCTTAGGTGTTGTGCAAAATACAGCAAGTAGCTGTCACAACGTAAGTATTGTTCTGCAGTGTCAAGCTCATTAGAAGCAATGCCATCTCACTTTTAGCCCTCCTAATGTACATAGTGTCATTCTGCAACTACTTGAGATACTGCTTTCTCTTCAGCTAGCAAACATGAAGACACATTGGAATGACAGAAGTTGTGTTGACACCATAAAAACCTACAGCACTGTCAGGAGTTAAGAGTTCCCTTTTTCATTAAAAAACAACAGATACAAGTTTCAAAAGATCCAAGACCATAGACTTCTCCAAATGACCTCACATCAATACTCATGGTAATCTGCCATAGTGATCATCAATAATCTCCTGGGCATTAACAAGCATTAGAACCTGTGGCACCAGTATCCTCTCTGGAGCAACCTGTAGCCTCTTGACAACATCCCTAACAGCTAAGCTCCCAGTCCAAACTGGTTGCAGCTGTACAGGGTGAAGAGCTTCACAATGGCATGAGACATGCACCTCTCCTTATTGAGGAGAGTGCTCATGCTGGCGCGTTGCTGTTTTAGCTCCAGGACAAACTCTGTGCAGACTCCTAGGAGAGCAGCGTTTGTCGTCATAAAATTCTACCACTGCTGTTTGGCAACCAAGACTGCATTATTCTTCCTTCTTGTGAGCCAGAGGCAGTTTTCTTATTCCTGAAACAGTGTTTCACTGAGTGAGGCTGCTCCAGGAAAAGTTCATCCACATGCAAATGGTCAATTATATCCTCCTCTGCCAAAATCAGCTTAGCAGCATGGGTTTAGTTTCTAAAGCCAATGCCACCCAGTAGCATGATCATAAATATATGTGCAGTAGCCTCTACTAAAAGCCCTCACATTGTGTAAAAGAGTCCCTTCCATCCATGGTGGTTGGCAGCACTGTGAAAATGACACCATCTTACAGAAGGCAGATGAATCATGGGTTGCCAGGAAAGGAATGATGGAAATATGCTAATTGGACCCTAGGTCCTAGAATTCCAGTGGTTTCTGGTAGGTCTCTCACAGTCTGTTGCAAGAAAAAAAATCACAGAATTCAAGGACTGCAGCAGTGGAGTAATGCACCTTGGAATGTATGCCCAGCATGTTGACTGCCTATTTTGAAGAAAAAAAAATCAGTAGTGCATGTGCACACTGATTCAGAGGGAAGTAGGTAAAAACCAACTGAATAGATGCAACTATATTGGAATGTCAATTAGTTCAGAATGATAAGATAACCATTATAGCTAGGGGAACATCTGCAGCCTTTGACATGACTTCAGAACAAGTGCTAAACTCATGCTCCTGGAGACCTTAACCATTCTGTCATTATTTCCCCATATTATTTCAGAACAGTTGTTCCATAGATGTTTGTGTTCAAAACCCTAATCTGGAAATCTTCCTCTATATAGACATCCTCTATTGAAAAAAAAAAGTAATTTGACTTCTTGTCACCAAAGCTTTTTAAGACTAGGTTAGACAAACACTAGTCCATGATAGCTTAAACAGTGATGAGCCTGGGGGGTATCCTTCAGCAGGGGGTTAGACTACATGACCTCCTGGGATGCCGTCCAGCCATATTTTTCTATGATTCTGAGGTTTCAGTCTTCAGCAAGACATGTTATGAATCAATGACCTCGCCAAATGATAGAGACAGTAGGAAAACTACATACCCAGAGACTCTTGAGAAGGAATGGATTTCTGGTATAGCTATTTTTATTTGAAAAACTGTGTCATCAATCCAGCTGAAGTTGGCAGAAATAATTTAAAGGACCAAAGCAGCGAGATCAGGGGTACAGTCTGTTCCAGTGCTATTGAGATTTTGCATACAACCTCCAAAAGGCCCAAATTCTTCCCCAGAACAAACTCAGTCACCAGTAAAGTCCATGCTTGCAAGGGCCAAATTTGGCTCACATTGATCTTCAATAACTTATGCAATTAAATTAAATAAAGATGAAAAGGTCACTTAAGCAATTTTGAAAAATCACACCTTCCATGATTAAAAGGGAAGAAACAAGGAAATATTTGTATAGGTTTCTAAAGATGGTATATGCAGTTAGACTAACACAGATCAACCTATTCTTTATAGGCTGTTATACAGCGCTCACAGTATCTGAGAACTTTCAGCTAGTACATTAAGGAACATAACCGTGCACGTGCAACGTGATTTATTCTCTTATCCTCTTCCCAGGAAGAGAGAGGAGTGCAGTGACGTAAAATGTTTGGGGGTTTTTGGTTTTTAAATGTACACGTTAAAATGAATTAGAGAAGATAAGGTCAAATAAATGTATGTTGCACTTGCAGCAGAAAGCAGAAGGGTTTATGATGTTCTCTAATTCCTATCGGTTTATTCCAGCTACTATTAGGACAGCAACACTGCATGCCTTGCATGCATGTGGGAAAAGACT